ACCCCGGCTGCCAGGCAAAGGCCCAGCTGGAGTCAAGGCAATGCAGTGAGGTGTGTACTGGGCCTCTAGGAGAAGAAAAGGCCCTTTTCTTCACTACACTTAAACCCACAAGATGCAGTCTGCAGCTGCAGGCAGTTGTCACCATGCCAGAGTCTGAGGGTGAAGCCACTGTGAGACAGAGACAGAGCTAGGTAGGGCGAGCCTGGTCCCCATGACATGTGGACCATACATCCAACCATGTACATCTGCTAGAAAATTCTCTTTTGCTTACACCAATTTGATTTGTTTTCAATCACTGGGAACCGGAAAAACCAACCTGTGGATATACATTTTTATCTCTGATCTTAGACCAGTTCTTTTTATACATAGCACTAGGTAATTTTTCACTCTTTATTAACAATGAATGTTGAATTCCAAGAACATCAGAAATAACTTAAACAATGCTGGCCAGGCTCAGTGGCTCACACCTATAATCCCAGCACTTTGAGAGACTGAGGTAAGAGGATTGCCTGAGCCCATGGGTTCGAGACCAGCCTGGGCAAATTGGCGAGACCTCATCTCTACAATAAATCAAAAAATTAGCTGGGCATGGTGGTGCATGCTGTAGTTCCAGCTACTTGGAAGGCTGAGGCGGAAGGATCACCTGAGCCCAGCAGGTTGAGGCTGTGGTGGCCGTGAGCAGCATGCCACTGCACTCCAGCCTGGATGACGGAGTGAGACTCCAACTCAAAAAAAATTTAAAAGCTGGGTGCAGTGGCTCAAGTCTGTAATCCCAGCACTTTGGGAGGTGGAGGCAAGAGAATTACCTGAACTCAGGGTTTTGAGACCAGCCTGAGCAACATGGTGAGACCGCATCTCTACAATAAATCAAAAACATTAGCCGGGTGTGGTGACACATGCCTGTGGTTCCAGCGACTTGGAAGGCTGAGGCAGAAGGATCACCTGAGCCCAGCAAGTCAAGGCTGTGGTGGCTGTGAGCCTGCCACTGCACTACAGCCTATGATACAGAATGAGACTCTGACTAGGAAAAAATAAAGAAATGATAATAGACCACCCTTTTGCTAAGGAGTTTGTGGATCGCAAATGTCTGACAAGTCTCTTGCAGGAAACCCCTTCCCTTTGTCTCCTCTCATCTATCCTGCCACTACCTGAGGGCAACTCATGTGGCTACAATCAACATCAAAGACCTGGATATTCCTCTGGGCCTAAACCTCCTTACCCCAAAGGCCCTTAAATATACTCAGTACGCCCACTTCTTGGCCGTTCTATGCCACACTTGCCTCTGAGTATCGGTCCCCTTTCCAATCTGTTGAAAGGTGAATAATAAACTTTACTTCTTTCTATTTTCTTTCTTCCTTTTTTTTTTTTTTGAGATGGAGTCTCACTCTATGCCCCAGGCTGGAGTGCAGCGGCACACTCATGGCCACTGCAGGCATGACCTGTTGGGCTCAGGTGATCCTTCAGCCTTAGTCTTCCAAGTAGCTGGAACTACAGGTGCGCGCTATCATGCCTGGCTTATTTTTTAAATTTATTTTAGAGATGAGGTTTCGCTAAATTTCTCAAACTGGTCTTGAACCCCTGGGTTCAGGCAATCCTCTTGCCTCAGCCTCCCAAAGTGCTGGGATTATAGGATTGAGTCACCATGCCCAGCCCTCTACTTTCTTCCTTGTTGCAATCTTACATTATTCTTGGGGTATCGGTACCAGCACTGGCCCACATCGTCTTAGTTCATCCTTTCAGTTCTCAAGAGGAAAACAAGCAAACACGAAATGGATTCTGAATGGCAAAACCAATAGGTGCCACCTGCAGCTAAGTGACCTAAGATTGAGAAACTCTTGGCTCCTTCAATCTTGCTATCAGGAGAAATTTGCCCGATGGCTGTCTCCTGTCATATACCCTCCTACAACCCCAACGAGTGAAAAGGCCTTGGCTACACCTTCCTGCCTGGCCTACCCCACACATAAGAATGGAGTGTCCAAAGATCACTGCACATTTTATACAGGGAGAGTCGGTGTCTGTCTCCTCCCCAAATCCCTAGGGCCTGAGGAACTGACTCAAATTTGGGATTGAAAATGTATATCTTGTTTTGGTTCAAGTTGGTACAACAGAATATGACTGGGTGTCTTATAAACAACAGAAATTTCTTTCTGGAACTGGACATCTGAGATTAGGGTGCCAGCGTCATTGGGTTCTGAGGAGGGCCGCCTTCCAGGTTGCAGACTACTGACATTTTGTTGTATCCTCACATGGTAGAAGGAAGGTGAGAACGCTCTTAGAGGTCTCTTTTCTAGAGCCTTGATTCCATTCATGAGGGCTCCACTCTCAGGACCTAATTACACCTTAAAGGTCCATTATATTGGAAGTTAGGATTTCAACATATGAATCTGTGGGAAACACAAGCATTCAGTCCATTGCATGTATGAAAACATGATGGAAGCATTCCTTCAGGTGTTTGAGAAAAGATCTCAGAGAGACCCATATCCTTAAGATTCTTCTTAAGCCAGCCTCGGTGGCTCAGCCTGTAATCCCGCGCCTTTGGGAGGCTGAGGTGAGTGGATTGCCTGAGTCCGCGGGTTCGAGACCCGCCTGGGCAACTTGGTGAGACCTCATCTCTATAATAAATAAAAATGAGCCGGGCGTGGTAGCGCTCCTGTAGTTCCAGCTACTTGGAAGGCTGAGGCGGAAGGATTGCCGGAGCCCAGCAGGTCGAGGCTGCGGTGGCCAGGAGCGGCCACTGCACTCCAGTCTGGGTGATAGAGTGAGATTCCAACTCAAAAAAAAAAAAAAAAAAGATTCTTCTTAGTCAGGCGTGATGGCTCACGCCTATAATCCCAGCACTTTGGAAGGCTGAGATGAGAGGATTGCCTGAGCCCATGGGTTTGAGACCAGCCTGGGCAACTTGGCAAGACCTCATCTCTACAATAAATCAAAAAAATTGACTGGGCATGGTGGCACATACCTGTAGTTCCAGCTACTTGGAAGGCTGAGGCAGAAGGATCGCTTAAGCCCAGTAGGTCAAGGCTGCGGTGGCTGTGAGTGTGCCACTACACTCCAGCCTGGGTGACAGAGTGAGACTCCAACTCAAAAAAAAACCCACAAAAAATTAAAAAAATGGATTCTTCTTATTACATGAGATAACCACTAGAATTAGATTTCTGTAACTTGCAATGCAAGTTACAGAGCACCTATGAACGTGTTGAGTGTGGACCACAGACTCATCCTGGTGTGTGTATGGGGTGGCAGGATGGTTCAGGAAACTTCAGGGCAAAAGATGATGGCAGAAACCAGTCCAGCCCACTGGTGAGTGAGGGACTGCAGTCTGCAGAGTGACTTTTCAGGAGTGGCAGATGGAGGACAAGAAGTGCCCATCCATCTTCTCCTCCAGGCCAGTGAGTGAGGTGGGGGCCAGTGGACAGCAGCAGTGATCACAAGCCGCAGGGTGGCCACAGAAAGGCCTTGTGCCAAGAACCATTTGAGAGAAAGTGTCGGGCTCAGAAGAGAGATCTTGAGGGTGAGGAGAGGGATGGCTTTGAAAGCTACTGTGCAGGCCGCTAACAACACGGGTAATCCAAGACTGTGTTTGTGACTCACCTCAACTGTGTGCAGCCAGCCCTACCCCATTCATCTCAACTACAGAGAGTCTGTGTGCCAAACAGTGGGCAGGGCAGGAGAAGCAGAGCCAAGAAAGGCAGGCCCTTGAGTTTCAGATGCCATCTCTTGGTTTTGCCACTCAGAATCCATCTCACTTTCACTGCAAGAAAGGCAGGCCCTTGAGTGTGGGGAGGGTTAGGTCTCTGACAAGTCTCTTTCTTCCATGTGATCTCTAAGGGTGACAGGAACCAGTGAAATCTGCTTGAAGCTAAGCTTGTCTATGCCTGCAGGTCTGTGAGGGTGGGAGATTGTGGTGGGCAGCAGGGCGGCTCCCTGACTCTGACTCACACCAGCCTGGCCTTTCTGTGGCAATGCACGGATGCTCTGGGTCCCAGCCTAGCACCCTGCCCAGTCGGAGGCCTGCATGCTTCCTGTTTTCAGGGGAACATCACAGCCACAGGCGTCCCTGCCTTCCTGATGCTCAGCAGTTTCACTCTTAGCTCTAGGGTGAATTTGGAGACCAGGCACATTGGTGGAGGATCCACAGCCCCTCCGTGGCCACACTTAGGAATCTGAACCTCTATGGGTCATCTCCTCTGGGGCCCTTGTTAGGCCTGAGGGAAGAAGTGGGTCTCCATGTGCCATCTTCAGGACACAGTGGGCTGTGGAGTTTGAGTCTCAGCCCCTCCATTTACTATGAGTCTTGAGCAAAGCTGAACCCATCAGCACCTGAATTGTAAGGTGAGTGCCGAGAAGATGAGAGAGTGAGCCTGTAGTCAGCCAAAGAGAAAGAAATTTATTAAAGAGGAGACACGAGAAGACTGGCTTCAAAGAGAAACCAGCCCCCCTTTGTTCTTTGTGGGTTCCTTTTATTTTCCTAGCAGGGTTTGGTGGTCACATAGCACACATAGATCTGGAAGAAACGGGGGCTGGTGGTCATGCAGCCTTGAAGAAACAGTTTGGTGGAGACAGTTATATGGCCTTGAAATGCACAGTCAGTAACAGGACGTCGTTTATCACCCAGCCTGAGGATACAACATTGAGAAAGCAGATGTAAGCAGTGAGTTATTTTTAACAATGGCCCCCATATCCCTTTCCCCTATGTAAGCCCTATTATGAATATCTTAATCTGTAACATAAGGACACAAATTATAGGTTTGTAAGGGAGTTAAATAAGGTAAAACATACAAAGGCATAGCACAGTGTGCATGTTTAAGTGTTCAGGTATTCCTACGGGTGGCTTAGAGGCTGTGACTTTCCAGGTCTTAGCTTCTCCGCCACAGCCCAAGCCAGGTCTGTCTTTTCTCTCTTCAAACATCTCATTGTCAAGTTTTTCAGGGCTTCCTTTCGGACAAACTTTTAGGTGGGGCCCGCCATGTGCTTCTTTTCCAGAACATTCTGGCATTGTGTGTAGCTGGTACTCTGCTTGCTTTAGCCTGCACAGAGAAAGGCTTATCAAGGGCCCTGTGCAGAAAAACAGCAAAATGATACCCTCTGGGACGTCTCTCTTTAAAAAGCTGGTGAAAGCTGGGCACGGTGACTCACGCTAGTAATCCTAGCACTTTAGGAGGCGGAGATGAGAGGGTTGCCCAGGGGTTTGAGACCAGCCTGGGCAAATTGGTGAGACCTCATCTGTACAATAAGTAAAAAAATTATCTGGGCGTGGTGGCATACACCTGTGGTTCCAGCTACTTGGAAGGCTGAGGTGGAAGGATTGCCAGAGCCCAGCAGGTCGAGGCAGCGGTGGTCATGAGTGTGCCACTGTACTCCAGCCTGGGCGATCGAGTGAGACTCTGGCTCCCAAAAAAAAAGTAAAGGCTGATGACCAGATGTTTCTTTTCTTTTCTTCCTTTTATTTTATTTTATTTTTTTGAGTTGGAGTCTCACTCTGTCACCCAGGCTGGAGTGCAGTGGCATACTCGTGGCCATTGCAGCCTCGACCTGCTGGGCTCAGGTGATCCCTCCGCCTCAGCCTTCCAAGTAGCTGGAACCACAGGCACATGTCTCTATGCCCGGATAATTTTTTGATTTATTGTAGAGACGAGGTCTCGCCAAGTTGCCCAGACTGGTCTTGAACCCTGGGCTCAGGCAATCCTGTCACCTCAGCCTTCCAAAGTGCTGGATTATAGGCGGTGAGCCACCGCGCCTGTCACCAGATGTTTCTTAGTGTCAGGGAGCCAAGTGCAGGGGTGGAGGCGATCTTTTCTCTCAGCCTCTCACCTGAGCTTGTGGGGCCTTTGCCCTCCTTGAGACCCAGCGACTGCCCCAGGACAGAAAGCAGGAGGTATCACACTACCAGACTTCAAACCTTACTATAAAGCTACAATAATCAAAACAGCCTGATATTGGTACAAGAACAGGCATATAGACCAATGGAATAGGATTGAGATTCCAGAAGCAAAACCTCAATTTCTCAACCAACTCATCTTTGAAAAAGTCTCTACCACCCACCACTGGGGAGATGAGAACCTGTTCAATAAGTGGTGCTGGGAAAACTGGCTGACCACATGCAGAAGATTCAAACAGGGACCCCTATCTATTCCCATACACAAAAATTAACTCTAAATGGATCAGAGACCTAAATGTAAAACCTCAAACCATAAGAACCTCAGAAAATGCAGGAGACACCCTTCTGGAAGTTGGAACTGGCAATCAATTCCTGAGCAAAACCCAAAATGCACAGGCCATAAGAGATAAGATAGACAAGTGGCACCTCATCAAACTGACAAGTTTCTGCAAAGCCAAAGAAACCATCAAGAGAGCAGGGAGACAGCCCACAGACTGGGAAAAATTATTTGCCAATTCCATGTCTGACAAAGGCCTAATATCAAGGAAGGGTCTACGAGGAACTCAAACGTGCTGAAAAGAAAAAAAAAACAAACAGCCCCATTACAAAGTGGGCAAAAGATATGAATAAGCACTTCTCAAAAGAAGACATACAAGCTGCTAACAGTTACATGAAAAAATGTACATCCTCTCTTCATTAATCATTAATTCCTCTCAGGGACCAGGCTGATTGGCTGTTTTGTAATGATTTCCAGCTTTCCATGTGGCTCAACCAGTCATCAGGAATCAGCTTAGAAAACTGAAAACCTTCTGTGTTCCACCCAGAACCTCACCCTTTCCCCCTCCTTTTCTGCCCCAGCAGTGTGGTTTTCCAGAGAGTGTTTTTTGCTACACCAAAACAGCAGGCTGTGCTCTGGTCTGCTTTCTTAGCTCCAGGGTGTTATTAACTTCTCTGCGCTTACAAAACCCATGAAGCATTTCCACAGTATTGGGCGGGAGAGGGTATGTTCTAGGGCAGGCAGGACCCGGAGGCTCCTCCCACCAGGGGCTGCCTGGCAGGCCCGCCTCCACGCCCTCTAGGTGTCAGGCCTTGGGAAGTTAATCTTCCTGCTCCGAGTGGCTTCACTGTGTTTTCTGTCCTATTTCTCCAGAGGAAGTCAGAGGGAGACCCAGGTGCCATGAACTCTGCCATTGCCAGCTGTGCGCGCCCTGCCCCCACGGTGAGTGCTGTGGGAGACAGAGGGAGAAAGAGCGGGAGGCAGGAAGAAACAAGCAGGCCTGGGAGTCCCAGTGTGGAGTCCCACTGTCCTGATTCCTTGTTCGTGCCAAGGCCGGTGGCTCACACTTTAAATTAGGGCTAGATCACTTTAAATTACGGGTGGCAGCTCTCCCCCCCCCAACCTCCAGCCTTAGTTCCCCTAGGTCTGCTGCCTCCTTGAGCTTTAGACTGTGAGTACATGACCAGGGGTGGGCAGAGTTGGAAGACTGGAAGCAAAGGGAGAGAGAGGGAAGCAGAGAGAAATAACTTTGAGCAGCCAGCTCAAAGTACTCTGCCAACTTTTTTTCTAACAAACCAATGAACAGGTTCCCATTTTACAGATGAGAAACCTGAGGCCCAAAGAAGTCAAATCACAGTAATTCATCTGGAGGCCTCTCTGGGTAGGCCCTACCACCCCTCCAGCCTATTTTGACTACCTAAAAATCACTAGGGGAGACCCTCTGTCCTGGCCACTACCCACTGCAGGGGAAAGGGTTTCCTGCCACCAGGCCAAGTCTGCGGCCCTGACCAGGTCTGTCCCAGGAGTCTGGGGAGGAAGGCTGCCTACCACCCAGGCTGAGCCTCCACCCGTTCCCTGGAGCCTGGCTGCTGGTCCCTGCCAGCTGGTCAGCTGCTGATGAAGTCTCCAGCGTTCTCTCCTGAGAAACTGTGGTGGGGGGAGGAGGAGGGGAGCCAGGGGGAAGGAGCGGGGAGGGGGGAAAGGGGAGGGAGGAGGCGAGTCCAGAGAACTCTCCTCACCATGCCGTAGAATGCTTTTTGGCACCACCACCTCTTGGATGAAACTCACACACACACACACACACACACACACACACACACACACACACACACACACACACACAGTCTTGCGAAGTAAGCTGAAGATTCTGCTTTCTGAAGGCTGTGCTGTTTTCCACATCTCTGGCTTCCCTGAGACAAGCTGGGGATGAGGGGGCCTGGGTACCTATCCATTTCCTGCTCAGTGGCCTTTTTTCCTGCCTTTTTCCTCACAGCACCCAGGCTGAAAAGTCATTGTTTCACGATATAAACATGGGAAGAAGCTTCTTGGTTCTGAAAACTTATGGTTTGGGTAGGCAAAAGCAGAGGAAGGGTGGGACACACAAAAATACTTCTGACACAAAGGAGAGAACAGCACAGTACATACTAGAGACAAAGTGTGCTGGGGGCGCCTGAAAGAAAGGCCACGCAGGGCTGGGGGAGTCAAGAAGGTGAGGGGGGGTGGGGGAGGGAAAGGCATTTGGGCTCCAAGGGAGGATGAGTACAAGGCACAGGTAATGAGAACTGAGGGGGCCCAGGGCCGGCAGAGGCACCAAGGCAAGATCACTGAGGTCACACTGATCTCGTGGACAGTCCCATTGGTGAGAGCTGGGTGAACAGGAGCATTAGGAAATGAATCTTGGTTGGGGGAACCTGGGAGGCTAGAGGGAACAGAGGCCCTGTGGAGTACAGATGGTGTCAGAGGGGCCCACCTTCCCTCAGGCAGCTCCAACCTTGTCCCTACTGCTCTCCCTGTGCCATAGCCTCCTCCTGCTCTGCTGTCTGCTCCTGGGAGCTGGGTTGTCCCTGCATGCCAGGGCCACACCCACAGGTGACAGCCCTTGACACCAGAAGAGGAAGGTTCCACTGACCCACTTATGTGGTTTTGGATAAGTTATATAATTTCACTGAGGCTGGGTCTCCTCATCTGTTAATGAGAGGCAACAAGAGGTGATGAGACTCAAATGAGAAGAGGTATTGGATGTTCTTGTGTCAGGCATATAAAATTCCACACTTAAGGGAACATCAGTACTTGGATCCAGCCCATTGCTGCCATAGAACAGGGCACAGTGAGGCCAGATCTTACTTCTTAAAAAAAAAAAAAGGAAAAAAGAACGAGAAATCCACAACTTTATATCAAATATTGTTTTTTTAAAATACTGATAAAATAAAGTGTATTTAATGAAAAAAATGCCACACTCATCAGAATGCCTCTTCTGATCAAGTCTTTTTTTTTTTTGAGTTGGAGTCTCACTCTGTCGCCCAGACTGGAGTGCAGTGGCCGCTCCCAGCCACCGCAGCCTCGCCTGCTGGGCTCCGGTGATCCTTCCGCCTCAGCCTTCCAAGTAACCGGAATTACAGGCATGCCCAGCCTGTACCACCCCGGCCGATTTTTTGGTTTATTGTAGAGATGAGTTCTCGCCGCCCAGGCGGGTCTCGAACCCGCGGGCTCAGGCAATCCACTCACCTCAGCCTCCCAAAGGCGCGGGATTACAGGCTGAGCCACCGAGCCCGGCTAAGTCTTTTTTTTTTTTGAGTTGGAGTCTCACTCTGTCGCCCAGACTGGAGTGCAGTGGCCGCTCCCGGCCACCGCAGCCTCGACCTGCTGGGCTCTGGCGATCCTTCCGCCTCAACCTTCCAAGTAGCCAGAACTACAGGCTCCAGAACTACAGGCTCACGCTACCACGTCCGGCTAATAATTTTTTGATTTATTGTAGAGATGAGGTCTCACCAATTTGCCCAGGTGGGTCTTGAACCCGCGGGCTCAGGCAATCCACTCACCTCAGCCTCCCAATTACCAGCTGAGCCACCGAGCCCAGCTCTGATCAAGTCTTAAAGTGAAATTACAATCCACACATTGAGTTGACAGACTCACCTCCAACCAGAAGAGGAGGTTGTGACCGTCTTCTCTTGCCATCTCATTGTCAGGGAGCTTCATGAATAATTCATTCTCCCCTAGAAAGGGACTTGCAAACTTTCTTCTGTCCCTGTGTGAGTCCTAGGCACCGACTTCTCCCAGCAGGGGATTCTCCTGGGATGAAAAGTACTTTGCTGTGCTCTGAGATGGGGCATCTCTGCCCTGCCAAAGAAGTGCTGGTCTAGGGCCTCTTGGGCTGTCCTGGGTTTCTCTGCAGGTCTTTAAGACTCTGATGATTCATTTCTGACATGCCTGTGTGTGCTCCGTCCTGAGTGTTTATTTCTATGTTCCAGTCTGCATAGGTGACCTGAGGAAGTTTACAACAAAAGGCATATCTATAAACAATTAGGTTAACACAGTAGAAATAGACAACCAAGCATGCCAGAAAGAAGAAAACAAGAGTTATTTGGAGAAGGGCTCCTCTCCTGTGGTCAGACTATCCTTGCAGGTCGTGAGCTTCCCACCGTCCCTGGCTGCCTGGAAATCACACACTCTTCTCACGGGGGAAGGACGTTGCTCTTGGTGAAGACCAGGCTTTTCCCAGCTCTACGTTGTAAATTTCTTTTTTTTTCATGTGGGGCCTTATGCAGGATCAGTTTCCCAGACAACTGTTTTTAAGCAAATGCAGAAGGGCTTCCAAACCTTCAAAGAGTCCTTGCTAATATAGAGACTGGACTTAGATGAGTCAGAAGTCATCAGCCTGGAAGCAGTCTTTGGCACTGGCTCCTGCTTTTCTCGGAAAAGAGACAAATAGGTTGGAACCAATGGTTTTTCCCAATCACGGTGTCTCATCTTCACCTTCCTGGGAATTCCCAGAGGCCCTGGAGAAGTCGTGAGACCACCAGAACATACACAGCTGTTGCAGCCACAGCCTGTGAGCTCATCCACGTGTCCTGCAAAGGAATGCCATACACACTGCATGCGCTTGAGCCTGTGCATATCCTTATGACTGTTCCAGATTCTAGGTGGGGAGACTGAGGCTGGAAGAGGTGACCTTGGGTGCCTGCGGCCGCTGAGTTTGACAGTGATACAATCACAGCAGCCTCACTTCTCTTCCACTGCTCTTCCCTGAGTGGCCTACCCAGAGTCATTGTCAGTCAGTCACACTTTCCCACATCCTCTCTCTCTCCTCCCCTTTCTCCTCAGCTTGTGTTTCTTTCTCTGCTGCTCCTCGTGGGCTTCTCCATACCTTCACTGAAACCCTACAATAAGTGCTCAGGACCCAGGCCCTCCAGTAGCCTCCAACCTAATTCAGCTGGTTTTGACTTTCTAAGGAAAAACAAATTTCTTCCATGTGCAACGTGAGTACCAAGCAGCATCGGTACATTTTTTTCTGAGAAGGCTTACTAGTATAGGTATGATGTTTCAAAAGAGTTCCAACCAATCAGTTAGGGATTTATTAAAAATAAAATTACACACTTTGGGAGGCTGAAGTGAGTGGATTGCCTGAAACCGTGGGTTCAAGTCCTGCCTGGGCAACTTGGCGAGACTTATCTCTACAATAAATCAAAAAAATTAGCCGGGCATGGTAGCGCGCACCTGTAGTCCCGGCTACTTGGAAGGCTGAGCGGAAAGATCGCCGGAGCCCAGCAGGTCAAGGCTGCAGTGGCCAGGAGCAGCCACCGCACTCCAGTCTGGGCGACAGAGTGAGACTCCAACTCAAAAAAAAAAAAGAAAAATAGAGGCTGGCCATGGTGACTCAAACCTATAATTCTAGCACTTTGGGAAGCTGAGGTGAGAGGATTGCCTGAGCCCATGGAATTGAGACCAGCCTGGGCAACTTGGCAAGACCTCATCTCTACATTAAATCAAAAAATTAACCAGGCATGGAGGTGAGCACCTGTAGTTCCAACTACTTGGAAGACTGGGGTGGAAGGATCACCTGATCCTAGCAGGTCAAGGCTGCGGTGGCCATGAGTGTGCCACTGAACTCCAGCCTGGGTGAAAGAGTGAGACTCCGACTCAAAAAAAAAAAAAAGAAAAGAAAAAATCTGTATAGTCATTAATTTGTGCATTTATTTCATCAGCTTTATGAGCACTAACTATGTACTAGGAATGGGGATAGCGAAATTATGGGAACTTGCAGTCTTTTGGATGCGAAAACATAGGATTTGTTTTTTTGTTGTTGTTTTGAGTCAGAGTCTCACTCTATTGCCCAGGCTAGAGTGCAGTGGCACGGTAACGGCCACCGCAGCCTTGACCTGCTGGGCTCAGGGGATCCTTCTGCTTCAGCCTTCCAAGTGGCTGGAACCACAGGCGTGTGCCACCACACCTGGCTAATTTAAAAAAAATTTTAAGTTTATGGTAGAGATGGGATCTCACCAAGTTACCTGGGCTGGTCTTGCATTCCTGGACTCAGGCAATCATCTCTCCTCGGCCTCCCAAAATGTTGGGATTACAGGTATGAGCCACTGCGCCCAGCTGTAAACATAAGATTGTAGGACAGTTTTTGCTTAGTTTTGTAGGAACTATTGAGGTGGAGAGGCCTTGTCTAGTCTGAAGCTGGAGTGGGTTAAGGTCAGGAAAGGCTGATTTGTAATAAGAACAAAATGATTCTGCCAAGCAGTGCTGGGTCAAAACCAGGAGATTGGGCATCAGCGAGCCTGGCCCTTTGTCCAGCCTTTGTGGGTCCTCCAGGCACAGCTGGGAAGAAATTAGGATACTCGTCTGCCAGAGCTCAACCCCCATGAAGGAGAACTGGCTTCTTGTTTCTCCACACAGGATGTGGTGAGGCTCATCTCACCCATCTCATCCTTCTCAGCCAGCACTGTCCCTAAGTTGGTGCTTTCTTGGGAGGCTGGTTGATGCTCTCAGAACAGTGGTTCTTTTGTTTGTTTTTTTTTTGAGTTGGAGTCTCACTCTGTCGCCCGGACTGGAGTGCAGTGGCTGCTCCCGGCCACTGCAGCCTTGACCTGCTGGGCTCCGCGATCCTTCCGCCTCAGCCTTCTAAGTAGCTGGAACTACAGGCA